CATCAGCTGTCAGGGAGGGCTGCTTCAACAGAGAGCCGATTCTCTTCGTTTCAGACAGAAAGATGCCTCTTTACCCACCGTTGTGTTGCTTCCAGCCATCCCCGCTGCTGGCGCGGCAGCGGCAGTGGCCGGTTATGGGGTCTGGATATAATGGCCCCACTGTTGGCACCTTCTCTGCTCCCACTCATGTGATTTTTAATGGCTTAGAGCTGCGGCCGACACCTTAGAGCTGTGCTGGCAGAAAGAGGTGCCTGTTCACGGGGTGCGTGTCCACCTTGCTGCCCTCCTCTCCTGGCCTTTGGGGCCTCTCACCTGTTGGTTTTGACCACAAAAAACAGGATTGTAAAAAGCACGAAAGACTAAGAAAAAAATTAAACAGAGGAGTGAGTATTGAGAGATATAGATTTTAAAAAAATAGTTTTTTACCTCTCTTCTGTGGCTATTGAGAGAATAGGTGTGCTTATGTATGATGTATTTTGTGTTTTGTTGGAAAGCTTCTGTAGAGCTGCCCTCTGCCCAGATGCTGTTTAAAGTGTCTTAAATTCCTTCAGAGTGAAGCAAAACAAATACGTTTGACTGCTGTAAAACGTGCTGTTAGCATAAGCATAGCTTAAGGTTCATCCCACCTTCAGGCAAAGGTGCCGGCTTAGCTCAATAACAGCTCTATATTTAAGGTAAACCCTAAGTGTGTTTAAGGAAAACCATAAATAATCAGGACAAATAAAGAGAGAGGACGGACATTAAAAAAAAAAAAAAAAAAAAAAAAAATCTGATCTCCAGCAAAGTACTAGGGCAGTGAGTAGGAAAAACACACCTTGCTTGTGGTTTTTAAAATTAATGTTTGGGGTGGTTTGCTGTTCCTTGGAGCCAGAGCCCTGGGCGCTTCTGAGAGGGAGGTTCCTGGGGTTGCTCTGTGCTGAAGGGCACCGGGTTTTGCCGCGCACTGGAAATATCCCAGTCCCAGGAAGATGAGTTCAGATTCATCTCACTGATTTTTGATTTTGAAGTGCCGTTATTAAATGATGGGCAATAAATGTTTAATCTGATTTTTATTTCCTGTGTTTCCTTTTCAAGACTGGGATGGTTACTTGTTTATATAATCTAATAGGGATTTGGAGCACTCGACTTCCGCCAGTGAGATTTTTTGTGGAAGTCCTCCAACACACTTAAGAGTGTGTGTGAATCGGAGTTATTTTTAAACGTCGTGGTTGGTTTGATCCAATTACCATGATTCAAATATAAAATACCAGATGAAGGCAAAGATGTAGGCAATGCCAGTGTCCGTGCAGTGTCCGTGCAGTATCCGTGCATTCTTGGATAGAAGAGGATGCAAATTATTAAGGTAAATAGTATGAGAATAATTTATAACCAACTGTGGTGACTGTGGTAGGAGCACATGGTAGTATTTTGAAGTGGCATTTCACCTTTTTGTTCCATGGAATCCCAGACTGACTGAGACGGGAAGGGACCTGTGGATCTTGTGCTGCGGGTTCAGCGCTGAAGCGACTGCGGGCAGCTCAGGGCCTTGTCCAGGGAGCCCTCCGAGGCCCCACAGCCGCTGTTCTGGGCATGGCTGTCCCTAACGTTTCCTCATGGCAAGTCAAGCTCTCCCATCTGCTGTTTTTTGTGCTGGTTCTTTCCCAGCCTTCCACTGGGAAGTCTGAGAGTCTGGAAGGGCCTAGAGTGTAGGCTGAGAGGCTGGGAAGTCAGAGCCTGGGGGCCTCCTGTTGACGTGGGGCAGGACCCGGTGGCCACTGACCTCGCTCTAGCTCCTCCACAGCTTCCCTGCTCCTCCGCAGCTTCCCCGCACCGGGCAGCCCAGGCTGGATGTGGTTTTCCACATGTGGTCTAGCGAGTGCCAAGCAAAGGGGATTAATTACTTCCCTTGAGCTCCTGCCTACAGCTCTGTTAATACAGCCAGTGTGCAACGTTGGGCCTCCTTGCTGTTTTTATGCTACTGCCCATTTTAAATTTACCCTTAATTTGCCCTTTTTATTATTATCATTTTTTTTAAACAAAGTTGTCTCAGACTCTTTCCTCTGGGCAGTACAATCCCAACAACGTGTTTATAGGCCGTAGTTGGAGAGCTGTTGCTTTCACATCTTTGCTGACATATCGTAAAATTGTCAGAGTTTTATCAAGCGAAACTTTTCTGGAGGAAGATGTCAACGAATGAGGGAACTTGCAATTTAAATAGAAAAAGTGAATGCAGAGAATTGGAATTGCCCAGTAACAGATGACATGCCCTTTGTTAAGGAATTTGAGACGTGTCCTCTGACACACAAGAAAAAACAAACAGATGGAAACGAGGTAAACACAATAGCATTTTGGTACTTCAAACAGTCCTTCAGAAGTGGGATTGCTTTCATCCAATCCCCCTTTCAGGTAGAAGATATCAGGCTTGTTTAAAAAGGCAACAATAACAAAAACCCCAAAACCAATTTTAATCCTTTTCCCGAGAAAGCATCGAGCTCTCGGAGCTGCTGGCGGGTAGGGGGCGTGGAGCAGGCCCATCCTCACGTGGCTCCTCCGCGGGCGCCGCTCTTCGGCACACTGATTTCCTTCCCTGTTCGAGCTCAGTGTCTGTCAGCCTTTCATGAATTGTGCCCAAACTCCCCTTTTTCTTTCCCAAATCAAAGTTTGTGTCTGTCATTCACAAACTGAGGCTGCTGGCAGCCAAAGAGGCGAAGGCAGGGGCTGGGAGCTCCTCTCTTCCCTTAAGGCCTCTCTCGGGATGCTATAACCTGATGCTCTTGTGCCGAGATTAAAATCTTAGAGTGGCTTCTGAAAGAAAATGGACAAAGAGGAAAGCATGGAGGAGTAAACCTAGTAGGGATTTGTGTGCATTACCCTGATCTTTACCTCAGTGACCTTGTTTGCCCCTCGCTGCTGACGCTGCCACTAGGTGCAGATGCTCCCATGGTTGATGCCCAGGACGGGACACGTGGGCTGCTGCGGGAAACGCCAGCCTCTCTCAGCATTGGTAAAGATCCTTAGAGCAAGTAATTACACGTTTCTGAGTGATTATCTTTGGTTACGTAATCACTTCTTATTTTTCTAATACTATTTCTCAGTTATATTTTTATTTACCAGTTACAGGTTTAATACAGTCCTTGAGTTGTATCAGTGACCCTGTTGTTTGGACGAGCTCCCTCTTTCTGCCCTGTTTTCTGTCAGCAGTTACAAAACAGAGCGAGTTTTCTGAACTTCCACCCACTTCATCGAGCAGTCGAGCTCGCTCGCAGTTAGTCGCCTTGCTGGCCCGCGTTTGCAGGGGGCAGCTGGGTTCCTCCAGAAACCCGGGACTGTTTCAGTCTGTGCCACAAGGAATTTGGAGAAAACAAGCTGCTTGTGCGTCAGAAAGGCCTCCTGCAGCAGCAAATGCCCAGCCCAGCTCCAGGCACTTTGGGATCATGTCAGCTGGTTGCTCTCTGGATTTCCAGCTCCAGAAGCTGCTTCCTTGCTCACGCTGGATGTCTGAATATTTTCCCTCCTTCTGACAACTTCTCATATCAGTTGCTGCAGCTGTATTGTAGCTTCCACTTTTTTTTTCCTTCCTCTTCTCTAGCCGCTTTTCCTTTCTTTGTCTTTGCAATTAGCAGGTCACATTTTGTGGTCAGCTCTTATTTCAATCCCATTCAGCTAAAACTTTGTTAGAGCAAGTTCCTAGTTTACGTTTTTAGTACTTACAACGTGGTGCGACACAAGTGGGAGGCTGTAACAGTCTGTGTGTGCAAGTCGGCGTGCGGGGGAGAATCCTCTGTGTAAACTGTGTGTACAGATAATGATCATGTTATGCAACACACAAAATAAAGGTAAAATACCGCATTATAAAGTCGTATCGGTCTATTCTGTCATTCAGTAGCTGGCATAGCTTCTCTGGGGTGTGTGTGTTTTACAGCAGGATGCTAATAGACTTACGATGTTTTCCAGAATACTCAACATTTATTGAGTTGATAGTTTAGCTCTCATGAGAAAATTGTGGCCCGTCCTCTCGAGAAGCTTGGGCTTTTCTTTCCTCAAGCACGACCGGCATGGGAGGAGATGCAGAAAGAGGAGCTCTGTCACTCAGCTGCAACGGGGCTGAAAGGCCTGAAGCTTCTGAGGGGATGTATCCCTTTGCCTTGGATACCTGCCCCCAAAAACCTTCATCGGGATGCTTTGTACGGGGTTAGATGTTAGAAAAGATTGAATAGAGTGTCCTGGTGTGTTTTATTGTTTGTGGTTTTTTGGGGGCTTTTTTTTTTTTGTAGTTTTTGAGGGGAAGAGGAGATATCTGGTAGAGGCCTGGGAACTACCCCATAGGAAACCTGCTGTTTCCTGCTGCCTCTGATTTTGTTTTGCTTGCCTGTAGGGTTGAAGTCATTCCGAGAGAAGCTCTGTTAATGTGCAGTTCTCTTAAGTGCTTATGAATTCAGAAAAGTAGAATCTTGTGGCCAAGCAGAACAAGCCTGGACTGGTCCATCATGTAATAGTATAAAAATACATAGTATAAAGTACTACATATATATACATATCCAGTGCTCTTAGAAAGCAGTAGAAAGTGCTTTCTACTACCTTATAATGCCGGCAGGATGGGTAAGGCACCCTGAATTACATACATTTATTGCAAATTAAAAGCCTGCACACCAGAAACTTAGGCATGTTCACAACCCAGTGTAACCCATAGCCCCTGTTGTTACAGTTCTGTTATCATGGAAAGGGGTTTCAGCTGGGAGTGCAGAAGCTGTTGGCTCAGAGCAGTCTGTGCAGGGTAGGTTTTATTATAATATGTACACACGTATAGTTTGCTCCTGCGGTTCCTTGCTGCTTTGGGCACTGTGCTATCAAGGTGCTATTTTGGTTTTGTACTTCTTTTCTTATGGAGTGGTAATGATTCATCTTCTATCAATGCACCACTTAAACACTCCCATTTAATACAATACTCTGATGCTTGAAATGTCCTTCAGTGTGCAAGGAATGTTTAATTCAGTGACTAACTCTATCATTTCTGTTTACAGGAGAGGCCTGCTGACAATTTACATGGCTAATCAGGTAAGCAGTCCTTTATTTCAAGAGTAAAACACATATAAGATCACTGAAAAAATATATTTTTTAAAATGGTTGATACTGAGATTTATTGCCTTTTAATCCTTCCCAAATTTTTCTTTACCAACTGTGTGATTTGATAACTAGAATTATCTCAAGAGCAAATTTTGATAATAGAAGCAGCTTCAGAGCAAAAGATGAAGTACAGTTCACTACACTGTGCTCACAGCCCCAAGAAAATGGGTGTTTTTGTCTCCTCAGAATTACAATGTCATATTGCTCTGTGAATGAGTATCCAATACCTTTATACTTTAATTTTGTAGTTACTTTTTTTTCCAACTAATTTCAAATGCTGTGCATGCAAACACATTTTTTTTTGTCATGTGGATATATTGATTTAAAATTTTTGACATATTCCTTACAATCTCTTTCAAATAAATGAGTAATGGATTTATATAAATAGTACTTTCTCCAGTACCATTTTTTGAATATATGTTGCTTACATTATATGGTCGTATTTTTTGAGGAATTATTATTCCAAAAGAATTAGGTTAAGTTTTTTATCATTTTTGGCTTGTGTAAAGAATTGCAGAAACTATTAAAGGAAGAATTTCAGTGTATTTGCTCTAAAATGCAGTATAAACTTATTGGGGTCCCAGTAGCCTAATGGAAACTTAGAACCTCCTCCTTCAAGGTTCATGAGTAAAGGTGGTGGCGCAGAGCCGTGTGTTGCACTGGGGGTTAGGGTAATAGCACTGAAGATCAAGTTCAGACCTTCACTTCCATCATTGTAAAGTCGTCTGGTGACCACTACAGTCTGAAGGATTTGAGGCCTGAGCAGGCTTTTGGAGGTGATATTTTAGGCGTGCAAACAGGTAAACATTGGGGAATCTCCCTACAAGCACCTGCAATACTAGTTAATATTCTTCTCTCTGCTTCTGGGATTTAATAATTTCTTTTAGCCAGGAACTGTTTCTTGGTTTGTTCTGTGTTCATGTATTGCCTGTCGTTACAGATCCTCRTGGCTACAGCTTATAGACCTCAAAAGTAGAGAAACTAATTTTCACCTTAAATTTTTTCTCGCTACTTTTTTAAAAACAACTTTGTATGGGTACTGAATTTAATATCATAGCCCGTACTTTGGGGCTTTTTTATTTCTAAGACTTTTCTAAGCATTTTTTACTTAATTTAAGAAGCTGATAAATTCTTCTCTCTAAGAAGATGTTCAGAACCTCAACAAATGGGAAGAAAGTTGCATTCTTTGAGGAATAACTTAACTGGAAACTTGATGTTCTTCTTGAATTGGAAGAGCAGCTACCCAGAAAATACTTGCAGAAGGGAGCATAGGTTATAAAGGTGGTGCTACCTAGTTGGACCTGTCATTGTCCTCTTGGAATGGGACCTTCAAGGCAGAGGTGAATTAGATGTGCTGAAAAGGAACACCCTGGAGTTTCCTCGATCCGAGAGTGACCAGCGAACTTGGCGCAGACCTGGGTTTATCCCGGGCCGCTCGCGGCCCCTGCGCTCGGCGCTGCGTGGCCTTGGGCAGGGCTGGCATCTGGTGCTGCTAGGAGGACTCTGATGCCACCAACGTGGTCTTCAGCACCGTGGTTTATTGTAGTCCTGAATCGGTGGGGAATTGAGAGCTGCAGAGGGGCGCTGGACAAACTGCTGCTTGCGGCGTAACCTCCTCGCTAGCAAAGCGCTTCCCTCCTGTGTTTGCCTTCCTGGGCTGGAGAGCTTTATAGGGCGCGATAAGATTTACTCAGAAATTTACCGTGCTTTTAAAAGGTTTTCAATTGCCTGGAGATTGCGCTGCACCCTGTTCTCAATGTTGGAGATTTTTTTTTTTTAATTGGTGATATCTAGATTTTACACTTAGATACTCTTAAGTTAGCTGTTACACAATGAAAATACAGAATGGAAGTGAAATGCACTGCTTTGCTGGCTCCCTATGAAACTAGTGTCAATATCTGTTCATCTGTTCTTTGAACAAGGCTTGCTCTGTGTGTGTTCTTCATGTTTTGCTGAAGTCCATAATGTCCAGAGGTACTTGAGGCTTTTTGTGTGATTCTTCATGTGCCCGTTGTCCTTTGAGGCAGCAGGTATCTGTAGTTACAAGTATTGACTATTGCTGCAGGGAGTCTTTAGAGCCACACTAGAGTTTTCAAAATCGGAAAACTCTCTATATTCTAGTGTCCCGTTAACACTTAAAGACAACTTAACCCCTGGGATGAATTGACTCAGTGAAAGGGGCTTGGTGGTATTGAGTTATTTTAATGTACAGCTGCTTCTTCATGATAAAGGGGTGAAGCGCAGCAGAATGTTGAAGCCCAAGGTCTAGGCCCTGTTCTTGCTCTGAAAGGTGATGTCTGTATTGATTTTATTGTGGCACTTACCAAAAACATAGGAGCAGGTGTCCTGGCTAGAGTGGAGGCAGTAAGAATGTTATTAGTGCAAGGCTGAGCTGCCTAGATGCATTTCCTTACTCCTTACACAATAAAATGATAGATTAAATAAGGTTTGTTACACTGTATGGAAAAAATTAATGCAAGTGCTTTCTTAAACTGGCTTTCTGCTAAACTGAGACTACTGCTGCAGGACACTCTATTTTTTATTTTTTGATGAATTAGATTTGGAATTGAACATAGCAGTGAAGGATCTGTAGGGTCTCAGTTTTGATATGGAGAATCTAAAATCAACATCTGAGCTCCCTGGAAGACAGTCAACATTTTTTAGACGTAAGTTAATACTCTTGGGCTCCAACACTGGGGATGTGGGCCTGGGAGTTTTTAACCAGTGGTAGCCTGAGAAGTGACCGTCTGTAATACCAAGGAGCAGAGTTGCAGAGGTCCTTCCTGGACACCAGGCAGGAACACTTTAAAGTACCATTTTAGATGGCACGTGTTGAAGTTGAGAAATTTCTAAAATCCCGTGATGAACATATGAGATGATCCTTCATGAATCATTTGAGATCAAAAGGAACTCCAGGAGTCCAGCAAAGGTGGAAGTGAAATGCAACCCCTCAAGTTATTTCTGTCTGAAAATGTGATGATATTAATCTATGAGTGCCCATAAATAAGAAATACAGATGTTATGTTGCAAACAGTTAAGATGCCCTTGACTTGTGAGCAGCTCAACACTTTGGTTTTGGCTTCTTGAGCAGAGGTGGTTGTGTTGAGGAGAAAGCCAAAGGCATGACTGACTTTAATACAAAGAGAAGGGCAAGACAGGAAGAGACTAATATTGTCCAGGTCCAATTTGATAAAAACAATGAGAAATAAAAATTTTGAGGGAATTCAGTATGTTGTCTCAGAAATGCTGTTCCAGGAAGACAGTTATTGTCCCATATGCTGAACTATAATGTATGTTCATTTTCTTTATCAGAGAAAGTTTCTCTACATTTTATATTTGAAATGTAAACTGCATCATTGCATCCAAGATTTCCTTTGTTTTGTTACTATATTGACTGTCTGGTTTTACACGTGCAAAGTTGGAAACGTTAAAATTTGGTTGGCCTTGAAGGTCACGGGTTTAGCAGTGCGAGGGTGAAGCATCAGGCAGCTGGATGGAAACACAGCCGGGTTGCTGCAGACTGGTCTCCTTGGGGCACTGGAAGGAAAAAGGGTAGGAAACGGCTCCGGTCAGACGAGAGGGATTTAGGGAGCGGAAAAATACAGGCTCAGAAAATGAGATGAGAAAGATAGGAGGAAAAATAAGCAGCGAAACACAAGTGAAAACTAAGGTGCCTAGTTAGAATTTACTGCAGCCAAAGGCCTGGGTGGGTGGGAAGTGGGTGGTGTCGTAGGAGGAGGGTGACGCGGTGAGAAGGCACCAGCAAAGGCAGAGAGCAGGTGGCAAGAAAGTGATGGGCTGCAGGGAGAGGAGGGATGAATTCTCTTGCATTTGACACGAGGAGAAGTTTGGCAGGAGCCTGTATCTCTGTATAGCTATGTATACACACAGACACACACACACACACACACTTTTCTCTGTATAAATATATATAGAGAGAGTTTGTCCTTCACAATTTTGTAAATCCAAACTTATGACGCTGTTTGTCAAATTCCTGAGAGCTTCTGTAGCAAAGTTAATAATGACGGTGAGAGGCTACCTAAGTAGTTACTTAGTTCCTCTTGGACATACTGACTTCTTTCTTTTCCTCTGTCATTTTAGAAATAATGCTGCATACTGTTTGGAATCCAGTTAAGTCCTTAAAAATGCTTAAAAATACTGTTTACATTAAGCGAATACTGAACTAAATAAGCAGATGTGTTCTGGGGTGATGTCCTGCTTCTGTATATTAATTATGGAGCACAAGTGATTTAATTGAACAGAAAATTTCTTGTTCTTTTAAAGTAGCCCAAGTAATTTCACTCCTGAATTGTTTTTGACTTACATAAGCAGAACAAATCTGGGTTCACTTTGACCGTTTTTTCGTTTATTCCAGCTATTCAGTGCAAAGAAGGGGTGTTAGTTGTGCTCTTATGGCTTGAAATGCTTGTTCCAAAAGTATATTTCACAATTTTGACATACATTTAAAAAGAAATCCCTGAGAAATCATGCCATGAGACTAGCGTAACCAGTGCACTTCAGTCACGGCTTCCTCCCCAGATCATCGTGTGTGTGCTGCAGGATGGAAGTTCTTGTGATTTCTAACTCTTCAGGCTTTTTGATATTTAAAGACTGCACCAAAACCACTAGTGATACATAGGACACTTGAGCAGCGTGGTAGACACCAAGTCTGAACTGCAGTGAAATATAAAACATGGTTTAAATGTCTGAGCCCAAGGGCCTTCCAGCATCAATCTCCATTAGCGGTCAGCTCCTTAGTGCTGTTTCATGCTTTGGGATGAGGTGTGTGGAGGAATGAAGGAGTGAGAGGTGAGAGATGCCAGGGCGGCAAAAAAACAGCAGCAGAAACCCCCGCTTTCCAGCGGTGCTTTTGTGGATCCTGTGGCCTTTTTGCTGAAGGAAAACTGCTAATTTGTAAAGGAAGAGTCATG